CCCACGTGGAAGATCGTGTGGAAGTGGAGACTCCGTCTCCTGCACTGTTGGTCCTGGACAGTGCGATTGTTCATAGTGTGAAGCTTCAGGAGGCTGCTGAAACATAGACAAACCCTCTTGATGAAGTGAGTCACGCTGCAGATCTTAGTACCTGCATCAGGCCAGGACTGGGATTAGAACTGCCTTAGTTTACCTTCTGGGTTCTCACCTTAGGCTGAGCCATAATTATAGTATATATCCTAATGCCATCATAGGCATGTTGGAACATGATTCAGCCATGGTTAATTGGTTTTCTGATATAACTAGGGCCTAGAAAGACTGTACATTAAACCATAATTGGAAAAAAGTTCTTGGTGGCCTCCTTAGGGCTAGAATTTCTCTGCACATTTACTGCTATACTGGAGAAAGTCCCTGGATTTCAGTGGCTTTACTGTATTTACACCAGCATTTGAGAGGTGGGAATCTGGCCCAACGTGCTTACTGATTTACATTTAGGGGTGGGACTTTCAGAGGAGCAGATGTCTCATTAACTGTTTGTAGGAACTTTTTTCTTTTGAATCACTTGAGTATTTTTGGAAATCTCAGTCTAATATTATTTTAGCAGCTGCCAGTTTGTTATTTACAGGTTTGTAGGCATTACTGTAAGTATAAGTGGGTCTCATTGCACAGGGTTGGAATGAAGTTTCAGTTCCAAGTCCTAAAGTGAGAACCTTAGTGCCTAAGAGAGCTAGATCCAGTTGTCTTTACAACCCAAATTCTTATTGACTCCTCAGGTAGCTTTGGAGTGAGCAAGGCATTTCGGGCTGGGCCTTTTTATTACAAGGATGAGGTTGTTTTGCATCCCGAGGTCAATTCTGTACCACTGGCCACCAGCCTGTGAATTTTGGATAGATAACATATGACCTGGTCCTGAAGCCCTTACTGAAGATGCTCCTCTATTTCCACAGACACTGGTATTATGTCTATATAAGGAACTAGATTTCTGAGCCTTTACTGGGAGGATGTCAACTTCACTGGTTTCAGGCTGAATGAAGTAGTGGCCAAGAGCAGTTTTTAGATGGAGAAAGATATTAAACTAGGCACATCTGCGAGATGCTTCATGTGCAGTAGACTAAATCTACTGAGCATTAGCATGTCATAGCAAAATCTGTGCTAATGAGCTGATGCACAGCAGAATTAGTCACAAAAAGACGTGTGCCTTTGCTACTGCGCATTAGCACAGACTACACATTTATGTAGTACCTCATATTAGAGGTACTAAACTTAATGCACCATGGCAAAGTCACGTTAATGCATGTGCAGACGTGCCCACTGAGTAGGTGAGTGAAAACTCTTTAAGTGCAACCTATCTGTAGCCTCTGCCTTCTAGAGTCTGTACATTTTGGTAAATATGGTAACCTGACCATACCTTGGGTGCTGAAGACATTAATAGGCAGACATTTGATTTACTTGTTTGCTTACCCGTCTTTTCATGCTGAATCTGCTTTATTGGGGGTTTTTTCCTTTACACAGCTGCTGCAGTATCTCGGAAGAAGAAACGAAGGATGGGAACCTATAGCCTGGTTCCCAAGAAAAAGACCAAAGTGTTAAAACAGAGAACGGTGATTGAGATGTTTAAGAGCATAACTCATTCCTCTGCAGGTGCTAAGGTGAGAGATGAACTAATAAACCCTTTCCAAGCTTCACCTTTCACGTTGTCAGTGGTTTGCATGCATCTGGGGGATACTTAAGGGGGAAATGCTTTTTTTTTGCCTTAAAGTCTTCAAGACAGCCATCCCAAGTGTTAGTATTTGAGGCTACAAAGCAAAATGGCAGACATCTCTAAAAGCCAAGGGTGGCATTCACAGCAGCCCAGGAAGTAGAAATTTTGCCTTTGGGTGCAATTAGCTCAACAATGAGCACTTTGGAAATCCTGCTTTTTTGTTTTGTTCCTTTTGGAGAAACCCTCCCAACAAACTCAGTATTATAAAGTAGATTTGGCTTTTTGATTGAGTATAAAAGTAGATGCTTTAATTGAACTAGTCAGTCTTCACTCGTGATTATTACTGGTAAGCAGTAGGGCTAACTGGGAGCCCAGTCAGTAATGCTCTGTACTGCCATGGTGAAGCCAGTGTGAGTAATTCTGGCCTCTCATTCTTCAGGCTGGCCAGGTTAGATCATACGTGGCAGTCCTGCAGGCTAAGTTCATTGCAGCATCATAGGCTCTGATGGGAAATGCCTCCAACTCTCTCCAGGAATAGACTTAAAAGGTGTCCAGGTACAAAGAGGGATAAGGTCATTTGAGGTTAGATTTGATTGTTTGGTAAAATGAGTTGATGCTGTTGCCTTTATGGTTTACTTTTTTTGGGTGTGTTTCAGAGTGAAAAGGACCTAAGTGATGGCAGCCCGCATGTGAATGGGGAGAGCATTGAGGTAGACTCTGAAGAGGAAGACTCTGATGAACTGGAAGAAGATGATGAACATGGAGTTGAACAGCCAGCTGCGTTTCCCACAGAGGATAACAGGATTTCTAAAGAAGGTGCATCAGATGCCGACAATTCCAGAAAGGTATGTGCATGCCATCAAGTGACTATAGAAGAGCCAGAGGGAAGATTTTTATGTATGGGGATAGGGCAGGGAAAATAGAGATGAATAAAAATGCTATCAAGAGGGGATGAGCTTTCTTGGGTTTATCACTTGAGATGGCCTCTTTGAATGCCACCTGCTGCTGCTACTTGCTTGCAGTAAGAATTTTGAAATTAGAAGCATTGTCCTACTGTGGTGTCCTCACTCCAAATAGTGGCCAAAACCAGTTGCTTTGTGGGTTGGTGCAGGCACCCTCTTCCTAACCTCCTTCATTTGTAGGCTTATTTATGCCCTGAAGCATAAGGGTTTCTGTTAAAAGCAATTAAAAAATCCCAAATGAGCCATTCATTCTTTATAACCCCTCTAAAGTTGCTGGAACACCATGGACTGTAGGCAAACAGGTGGCATAGGCATGAAATAGACCTGCTTTCTCAGTGATTGCTAAGGCTTTAACGCTCACATAGAGGTAGAAAGGTTTTCTTTCTGTATGGCAGACCTTTTGCCCCTCAATCTGTCCCAGTGGGGATATGCAAGTTAGTGTGTTAGTTCTGTCTTTGGGAAGCAAGTTCTGTTTACACTCTGGTTGGAGCATGGGATAATGCTTGATGTGTTGCAAGGAAATGACCAACACCTTACGAAGTCTGGGAAGGTAGTTTTATTTGAAATACTTGCCATGCCTGATTCTTTCTTTTCTTGGGTGAACATTGACTACAGATGGAAGATGGTGAGTCTGAGGAGGATCAAGAGTCTGGAGAATCTGGGGAGGAGGAGGAAGATGGAGATGAGTCTGACTTGGTAAGCCAAGCAGCAAGATGCGCCTTTGGTCTGGTGGCAGTGCATTTCCTTTCACAATCTGCCTGAGAGAGAGAAGCACCATGGTTTCCTGTCTGTTTGACAAACTCATGCTATGAAACAAAACTGAACCACCTACACAGAGACCAGTTTTTCATAGGTGCTCTAACCATAATCTGTGATGAAACTAATTGCCTTCTAATGCTAATTAATGAGCTTTTGTTTGTTTTCTGTTTTCAACAAGGTGTCAAATCCTTTCTGTTTAATTTTAATGTTAGTAGGAGCATTTGATGCTTGTTCTCAGGTTCTTCAAATACAGAGTCAGCAGGCGTTGAGACTGTAACACTTTTAATAAGCTGAAAGTGAGCCTGCCTTTTCAGGCACAGTTGGAATTGCTCACCAATCCACTGACCCAGCCACAGTGTTAAATTCACATTTACTTAGCATTCTACCTCACTGTGCCATGAGAGGCTCGCTATCTCATCGCAAGAGAGGTTTATAGATTTAAAAATGATAGAGATGCAGCCTGGGGAAGGTGAAGTGTTTTTCAGAAGCTGAGGACTCCTGTTTTTTTTTTTCTGAAAATCAGGCCCTTTTAAGATATCTCTGGTTGAGGCCCCTAAAAATGAAAGTATCTACAATCATTAATCACTGATGAAAAATATTAGTCTAATTTTTTTCTTACTCTTTCTACATTGGTTTTCTTGGTTTCATTTGAAGGCAAAACAGATTGATCAAACAGATCTGTGATGACCTGTAGAATTTGGGAGCTGGCTGTCTGAGAGACTGCTGTTCCACCCAAACAGCCATCAGCACAGAAAAAGCAGCAGACACTCTAGAGCTGCAGACGGTCCTTGTATTTAAGCAGCTGGAACACAGTATTGGCAGCAAAGAGCTTTTGACTCGAGCTGATTCCTGTTATTGGTCAGCTGATGTCTGAATCTGCCCCAGAGAGCAAAGGTTCAGCACCAGATTTTGCTTGAATGGCTTCAGTGCTATGGTAGAGACTGGTACTAAGTATTTTGGAGAGGATGTTGAGGAAGATAGAAGCTGGTTGGCTCCTGTTCAAGACTTTTAATTAATTTCAGTGAGAATGGGATTGATCTTCAACAGACTGTTGATTTAAGTTTGAATATGTCCTTAGACCAGGAATGGCTGAACTTCCTAACTCTTCAAACTAAAATCTGTGAGACTCAGCCAAGTCCAGGTCATAAAACTTCTGAGATGTGTAAGTCCCAGAGTCTACGATATGCACGCTGAACCCATCTTAAATCATAATTTGTTGTTAAATGACTGATTACTAAATCACCAGCAAGAACAGCAGAAAATGAAAGAAGAACTGTATTTATTTAACTTCCTTGCTCTTCATGAACCACATTTAAACTGCCCAGGAATCTCATGCACTTTGTTATCCCTGGCCACCCCAATTTAGATTAGGGATTACACCCTGGCCACCCCTGACTTAGATTAAGGTTTACAAGGCTGCCAAAAGGATCTGGAAACGCAGCTCTTGGTGGTAATGGTAGCTTTGAAAACCTAATGTGGAGTTTGGTGGTTACACACATTTTGTGCGTAAAATAAATCATTCTGGATTTTGTAGATGTCACTGAAGAGACTGGCCCCCAGAGTGCCAGATGCTTTGGCTGTAATGAATGTGATTAGGCTGTGTGCACAGCCAATACTTTGCATCTTCTTCAAGGGCTGGCCTGATACTGTGGAATGAAGTCCCCTGAGAACTGTCACAGAGCTCACCACCTTCTACTCCAAGTGCAAGGCATTATTCTTTGACCTTGCTTTCTCTAAAATAATTATATAGCAACATATTTATAAAAAGAAAAGCAACAAGCCCCACTAAAAACATGACACCCTACTGCAGATGTTTATCCTGCTGGGGAGAGGACGAGCAAATAGACACGTGACTGATTTTAGTCACATTATTCTTGACTCTGCCAGAAGGATCTCGGAGACTGTGTTGTGGGTGTGACATAAGAACCTATGTAAAATAGAAAGTGAAGCCTGTGCTGTGGAAATGACAGGAAATGGGCCCACGTGTGTCTTTCTTTTACTAAGCTGTGGAGACTTCTTTGCATCAATTTTGGTTTCAAGCCCTGAATCTTGGGTATAAAGGCTCCTCCACACTACTGTGGTAGTGGGATTTAAATGGGTTCAAATGACTGTCAGGCCACTGATACCAACATGGTTTGTGCACAAACGGCCTTTCTGGTTATTCAGAGCTCTGAGTCCAGTCTCAAGAAGAAGCTGCTAAAGAGGAAAGGAAAGACGGACAGTCCATGGCTGAAACCCACCCGGAAAAGGAGGAGGAGGAATAAAAAGAAACAAGCCAGTGCTTTAGGTAATCAATTTAATTTTTCTGATATTTACCCAGAACCAATAATGATAGTCAGTTTAATCATTGTCTCTGTTCCCATTGTCTTGAACACTTGTGAAGGGAAGGGAACATGTTGAGGTAGCAGTTGTCTTTCATGAAAAGCCATTGCAAGTTAAAGGCTGTTCTTTTATCTGTGAACTGGCCATGGTAATGTGCACTAGCATTGCCATCTATTACTTGCCACTGAAGAGGGTCCATTTAGGACCAGGTTATGCTGGACTTTTAGCCAGGTTCAGAAAGTTTGTTCCTACTGCGTTTTACGTATTGTTCCATTTTCAGTGTAGACAGAACATTAACTTTACCATCAGCTACCCACAAAGCTTGGAACTGTTTTGGGATTTTTGGAACCTTTTGGGGGCCAAATTGGACCGTGGTGAAACTGGGTTTCTTGACATGGCTGCTTTTGTGGATAGACTTTTAAAGTAAGCCTTCTGAGCCTCAGAACCCTGATGGTTGTCTGTGAAACACTTGAGATAACTTCTTCCTTTTCAAAGGAACCATCATATTTTTCCATAGGCAATATGGCAGACCTGGGACTAGCCTGTAGTATTGTTCTTCCTCCATCACAGAGAAACAATTGCATGGGCTTTAGGTAGAAGAAGATGGGGTCAGGTTGGCTGTTGCTCCTTCTTTGAAAGCCTTCCACCAGCATTCATAGAACTGTTCTTTTAAATGCCTTCCCAATCCACAAGAAGAGGAACCTAGTCATATTGTTGAGAAGAGGGGGCTCCCCTCTAATAAAAAAGAAGTGCCAAAACCCACCCACCATGAACTCCTACTACTTGTGGGGTGAAAGGCAAGGAGACTTGGCTTGCTTTCAGAAGGAAAATGGGGACGCTTTGTTGTTTCTGACTGAATGCTAATCTGGCGATGTGGGACTTGTGGGTTGTCCATGCCTGTTCTTGAGTGATCCTTGTCATTTAGAAACATTGCAGTTTTGGAGTAGTGTCCTCTTGATACTTCCACAGAGAGGGCAGAATTCAGGGTATCTTCATGGCTTGACCTAAACTTTGCAACATACTAAAGAGCGTGGCCTATCTGTCCTGCAGAGTGGAGATTTTGAGGGGAGGGTGGAAGTGATCAGATTTCTCCCCTGCAGGAGGACTAGTAATGACAGTAAAAGATGGTGACAGTCTCCCATAGTGGAGCCTCTCAGTTAGCCAAGTTATTAAAAGTTCACACTTCTTTGCCAATCAATCAGATTTTCCCAATGGGTTTAGGTCTTCTTTCTGCAAACAGACTGAATTTATCAGCCCATTTGTAACTGTCCCAACACTAGTGAATGCATCGGTCCATGGGCTGATTGCTGGTGCGTTAGCTCCTGGTATTTCTGGTGTTTGGATGACTGAAGCTTTACTTATGGGAAGGGATTGCTTGAAGGGCAGAGAGCTAATATTTCATTTCAGACCCAGATCGCTTTTCAGGCCAGCAAATACAGAGACTGCTGTAAAAAAAACAACAAATGTGTTTGCTAGGTATTTGGGCAAACAAAAGCCCGTTGACACTAATCTTAGTGGGAGGAGCACGCAAAGGAGGAGTATAAAGATGGATAAATCTGTAGAGTCAGAATGAACTAAAAGATTCACAGACATTCCCTCCATCTCTTCAGAAGCAGTCTTGCTCATTTAAAGGCAGGACCTAGCTTCTGACACCTTCCCCACCCCCCATTAACTTGAATGTCATCTGTCCCATTCCCTTCCATAGTGCTTTTATTGCATGTTATTGGTTAGCGTGCACTGCCTGGCTGGAGTGTACCTAGGGCCTTTCACAGCAGGTTGGAGACGGAGAACGTGGAGTAAGACAGGGCAAGCTAAGTTTCCATCCCTTTCTCATGCCATTTATGCTCCTGCTGCTGATGCAGTACAGCAGCAGACAGATGTGTGTTTGAAAGGCAGGACTTATTTGTGTCTCATATTCTTTTTCGTTACCTAAGTGGAAAATCTGGCTGATCATACAGAGCAGGAAATAGGAGATAAGAGATCAATTGCACCCTACGTGCCCAGATGTTACATTTTCATTATTCTTTGTGCATCTGTATTTATAGACTCTCTCCTAGGAGCCTGCATACTGCCTGCTTGTGATAAATGTGGCCTTTACATACACACAATTTTTTTGCTATGTAAATATATGTATATTTTAATTTAGGTGCTGAAGCGTATAAACCACCTTTGGGAGGCAGAGAGGGAGCTGGGCAGGAGAATAGTATGGAATACATGGAAGTGTCTCTTGATTCTTTGGATCTCCGAGTAAAGGGAATTCTATCTTCACAATCGGAAGGTGAGTGTCAGCTTTCTAAATATGGCCATGTACCATTTTGGTTCTTTGTTTCCTTGGTCTTATCCTCTGTATTAAGATGATGCCCCCTGGTGGCTATTAATAAGAGAATTTGAAGCTATGTTTCAACTCATAATGTAGCAGATCACACAGAGCACAGGGGCATAGGTGATGGTATTGTTGTCCTCAGGGGACTAATAGGGTGCACTTTGGGGTTCATGGGAGGGAACCCCATTTAAATTTGGCTCCTGTATTTTGGTGAGTGTTAAACTTGCAATGCACCTGGCTTAGGATGCAATTTTCTATTCAGTGTTTTTTGGCTAGGGTTTTTTTTTCCTTCCTAGCTCTTCCTGGCAGTCTACCCAATTGTACAGCTTTTTTTTTCTCCTTTAGCTAGCTCTTATTTAACCAAAAACAAACAAGAAGGAAAAAAACATGGGATTTTACTGTTGTAGACCCAACACTGTAGTATGACACTGTTGCATGATGCAGTGCTTTGGTTTGTTTCTGTAAGTACTTCCTCAAAAGCATAGGTTCTTTTTTCACAGAATGGCAGAATCCCTCAGTAGTCAGGGCCACTGGTGTGCAGGAGGTGCGTATAAGAGGATACAAGTACAGGGCCATCTCCCTGTTGGTTCCAGAGAGACTTTCTTTAATGAGAAGGCTGCTGTTCCCAGTGCTGAATTTGTCTTGGGTCCAGTGCTTCATTGTGAACTTGACTCTCCCCCACACTGTGCTTTCACTTTCAAAGTTTGTCTTCATTTTTTGATAATGATGCCATATAAAATTGGTAGGAGTATCCACCACTAAGGGACAGGCAACTTTTTTCTTGTCCCCCGCTTTTCTCCACATGCTGGTGATGTGCCATAGAAACAACAGCTTGGAAAGAGAGAAAAAAAGCTTTTTTTTTTTTTTTTTTTTTTTTTTTTTTTTTTTCATTTTTTTCTCCTAAAAAAACCACTTT